AAATGATGCATATAAATTTCACAGAGATCGGATGATAACTCTTGGCGTTAGAAGGGTCACAAGGTTCAACAAAGTGAAACAAGGGCCATAACTCTAGACATAATAAACGGACACTGCTGAAATTCAATAGGATTCTTCGATACACTAGTTTAAATAATGCATATAAATTTCATAAAGATTAGATGATAATTTTCAACATTTGAGCATTCAAAAGGTTCAACAAGGGCCATATTGATAACTATTGATGTTAGAGCATTCACAAGGTGCAACAAAGTGAAACAAGGGCCATAACTCTAGATGTTATTAATGGAAATTGCTGAAATTCAATAGGATTCTTCTTTTTACTAATTACTAATTTAAATGACACATATAAATTTCATACAGATCGGCAGATAACTTTTGATGTTAGAGCATTCACAAAGTGCAACAAAATGAAACAAGGGACATAACTCTAGAAGTAATTAATGGAAATTATTGAAATTAAATAGGCTTCTTCATCTCACTAATGTAAACAACATATATCAATTTCAAAACAATCAGATGATAAGTTTTGGCATTCACAAGAAATTGTGGATGACAGAGCGACAGACAGACGGACGTGGGCCACGGCAATATACATCAACATTTTCATGTCAGCATAAAAACTGCCCCAGAGAAAAATAATTTACAAGAAATGACTTCCATTCTTCCTACAAATAATGTTTGGTATTTTTTCCAGATGCCATGGGACAACATTAAGCATGCACATGTCTCAAAGTTTTGATGTATTTTTACCAAACACATTTAGCTACATTTTTTACAACATTCAGCACAAATGCATAGATTTAGACCAATTTCAATTTCCAACAAGGTCAATCTATACTTGTTTCTTGCAGATGTACTGCATGTCTTTTTGTTTGCAAGTATTGATCCTGTTGCACAGTTAAACACAATTAGTGATAGTGATAATTAGTGATAACAAAAATGTGTATCTTTTGACAACAATAAACGATTTATGTGTTTTAAGTAGACAATATCTGGATAACTGGGGTTGTATTTACTGATTCTAAACCCAACCAAAACTTCACAAGAGAGTCTGTGAAAATTATTAGAATGTTAGGACCAATAGGCTACTCTACACAAAATTATATGCATTAATAGTCTATACATTTTTGCAGTGGCCTTTAACTTTTAAGGTAATTACCGATATACAATACTATCTGTTTAGGTTCCAGTTATTTTAAATATACTATAGTCTTTAAATCTTGAATTTATGCCAGACATCTGTCATCGTTGACATTTGAAATGAGGAGAAAAATCTGGAACAATATTACACTACTTTTAATGTCTGATTATCTGCAGAACTTAAAAGTTAGTTCAACCAAAGTTTTAAATTCTCCATTCTTCTAGTCAATAAAATTAAAACACAAATGAATAGGTTGTGTTGAGGATTAATGTTCAATCCTTTACAAATTTTAAAGTAAGAAAAACAACAATTGTCTATCACTTATTTGTATAAAACTTAAATTCTTTCTCCAATTGATTAAAATCTTTATAAACTAAAAATATCCTAATCGCAGTACAATATTAAATATATTATTTGATTATGTCAGAGTTAGTCAAAACATATTTAATCATTCACATCTAACATAAGGATCTTAATAAACATGCAGTTGCTTAATAAAATCTTCTCAAAATATACCCTAATATCTAAACTGTTCTTACATGATATCTGTTATGTTTTCGTTCCTTATGCTGTCAGATAACATGGTATTTAGTGTCATGTCTTGTAATTAACAATTGATATGCTCTGTAGGTATGCCAAGTACATGATTGTATCTTAACAGCAGAAACTGTTGTTACTGTAAACAGACTACTTATAATTTGAACCACATGTCCGTCTGGATGGCCATAGGGCTATAGAAATAGAACAAAACAATTTTCGATGAAAATCATAATATTTTCATATGCCTGGAGTAGGCAATTTTTATTTATGCCTGAAATAATTTATCAGAGTTCTGATTTAAAGTTTGGAATCATATCAAACATTTACTTATCCCTGAATTTTGTTCATTAATATATACACATAACAAGAATCCTCTTTCATTTTGGGTCAAGACTATAATTATAAATTTCAATGGATTTTGTATGTTCATTAGTTTTTCGGGGAATGACAACTGAGAATTCTATGTATAAAGAAAAGGGTAGTATACCAGTAAGCTGAAAATAAAACTAAAATGAGTAAATATTTGATTGTATAGTTTGCTCCAGGAAATAAGACAACAGACCAACATAATTTGACAATACTTTATAACCAATTAGTGGTTTCAGCTCCTTTAAAACATTTTACTATAACTAGCATTACATACTCAAACATAGTTTGCCAGGTGCGGTAACCAAATTCTACAAACTGATCAAGGGCAATAACCTTGCAAGTAGTTAATTTGACTACAGTAATTACAAATTTCCACAAAATGGTCACATGCAATATTTAAAATTGGGCATATATATTTTAAAAACCAAAATAGTTTAATTTAAATTATTAAAAATGTCAAAAATATTTAGTTGTGAAGCTGGTATGTCCCATAAAATTTTCAAGAAACTCCAAAAGTATTCTGAATTTCAATAGGGTTCCTATATATGCCACTTTGAATAATCTGACCAATTTTTTGTTTTATATATTCCATTTCGAACATTTCTGGCATTGTGTTCACATGCTTTAAAGAAGAACTGGGAATTCCCTCTCCCCCCCCCCCCCAAAAAAAGAAATTTAAAAAGTATCGCAAGTAAAGTGAGCTAGTAACTTTAATCGCTTTCAATGTCAAATGCATTTAGGGTGACAAAAATTTCATAAATGGAGTCAAACATGTCCCAATTACATCTAATATAGTATGGTGGAGCATTTTATATTTTATTATTTATTTAACGGTAACTGTTAATCTGATTTCATTCATTTCAACATTCATTTAAAATTAAATCTAGTCAGATTAAATTGAAATACACAAAGAAATTGAAGTTTGTATGTCCCTTTAAGACTGCTATACCATGGGTTACCTCTGAATATTGCTGACATCTGGTGCCAATTATAAAGCTGTAACCTTTGCTCCTTGATTGACACAACAAATACCTTTCTATTTGCAGGTATGTCAATTTAAACAAGAAAACCCGGGTAAAATAAAATAAAAGGTAGAAGTAATAAGTGACTTAAAATTCAAACACTGGAACATGCTGATCTCTTATTTGCATTTCAGTTCAAAGTTGCAATCTTAAATTCATTTCAAATTAAATATGTCTAAATAAATGAATCCCCTGGTCTACTTTTCTAAGATCTAAACACAATTATGGTTTTTTGATATTTTTAAATTTTAAAGCATCTATGCCTGATTTTACAACGTCTCCATTATGTGGGTTTTATTTTAATATGCAAATCTACAGGTCACTAATTGAATATTGAATATTTTAAGTCATTATTCGAATTCTATCTGAATATTTAATTCAATCTGCATTACTAAAGGAGTATTAACAACTTTAACATTCATATCAGATCAGACCAATCAAGACTATCACATATTCTACAGACACTGGTAGAAATTTTGGAATATGAAACTAAGTACTGATAGTAATTAGATCTGGGAGTAGTTATTTGGTTAAATAAAGTGTTTTGAAAACAATCTCAAAAACTTTGACCTGTAGACTGAGAAAAGTGACAACAACATGAAATGTGGGTGTATGATAAAATTGCATCATAAAACATAGTCAAGTTAAGGCAAAGCACAACACAAATTTTCTATAAATTTGCAGTATGTTACTGAACAGCTTAAACTTAAAGCTAAAAAAAACCAACCCAAAACAACAAGAACCAAAAAATTGTTTACCAGTGGGTTGGGTTAGGCTATCACTGTATCAATAATTTCTCTATCTGACAAGTAGCATATCCACCAATTTCATTGAGTGGTTTAGAAAGCAAAAACATCACCCTACCCAGTTACTACAGTACAACGGTATATAACTGTAAATTCTAAATAAGCAATTTCTATGAAACGTACCTATCAAATTGGGTTGAATGAAATATATCAAGCAGTTGGGATTTTCCCTTTTGAATTGCCCCTGCCCCACATCAATGGAATCAATTGACTTCATTTGAACAAATCTTAATAAGAACTATCCAAACAACATAAATCAAGAGCCAAACGGACAAACTCCTCCACATTATCATAACTTCCCACACTGTTAGGCAAAATAATTTGAGCTTTTAGCATACCATGTCTTAAAGGTTCTGATTGTTATTTAGGAGATTTTTAATCTCTGGCAAACCTAAGACATTTTGAAAGTTAAATCTTTTTAAGGAATATCAGTCAAAAAATGGTGCAATTCCATTTAGTATTTATAATGACTTAAAAATGAAAATTGGTCAACATAAACAGAATATGATCAAAACAATCCAGTGCCTATAATCTTTACTAAAATCTTCTGATGGGCCTCTTTTTAGTCTGATTGAATCCCAAGGTGGTAGATTATCTACTGTTGATAATTAGATAATTGTTTTCTTGATTAAATGCTAAGTAATCAATTTGAGAGCATTTTAGCACAATTTAAGCTGTGAACTTAGATATTGACCAAAAAATGCAAATGGCGATTAGCATGCAGCTTTCTTGACTAAGCATGCACACGGCTTGAACGCAGTCAGTTACAACTGCTGCTAACTAGACAGGTGGAGATTGTTACAAGTGTAATCATAGAGACAACCTATCATTAAAAGCTGGTTGAACAATGCATATTCATATGCATACCCGTTCCTTATTACAGAAGCTTCTCTTTTGTCACGACTTCCAATTATCTTAGCCATAGATTAAGGTCCAGTGCAGAACAGTTTGAGACGAGGGATGTTATATAGGCCCTTTCAGCCAATGGCCCAATGGAATAAAAATGTTTCCTCACACAAAAGCATTTAACACTGAAAGCACAAACACAACACATGGAAAAAAAACACTTTTAAATACATGCTGGTATGAAGTATTTACCCCTTTGGAAGTGTCCCATGGTTGAGCATCAACCACACAATATTCTTTAGATTCAACAATTTCTTCTATTATAGGTTCAGGTTCCGGTTCCGGTTCTGTTTCTTTCTCTTCTTCAGGTTCTGGCTCAGGAACTTTTTTCACTCTCCTCTGATCACCTGTGAAAGCGAGTGATTTTTCTGAATATGCATCAGGCACCATTTCAAAAAAAGAGTTTTTCACTCGTGGTTTGGGATTTGGATGAGGAGCAAAAAAGTCGAATTCCTCTTCTTTCTTCTGCTCTTTTGGTTCTGTTTCTTCACTAGTTCCGTTACTTGCCATGATTCTTTTTGTTATTTATTAGGTGGGTGATACAATGAAAATGGCCTGAAATACATTGAAACAAAGTTTAATAAATACCGGTACATATATTATAATGTTTGTAATCTAAATGATTACAGCAAAAGGATTACAGGTATATAAAACGAAGACCTTTGTTTTCCTTTTGATTGTAGGCCTACTATTTCAATCTGAGGAAGTTTTTTGCAGAGTACTGTTACCCAATACTTCCTGCAAGTATAAATATATAAAGGAAATGAACTGAAATGGGATTTAACATCTTACATTTGGAACCAGTCAGGCTAATGAAGATGAGCATACGCCAAACAGTGTGCTATGAGGGAAATATTGCCAGCGCTACGACCTACTCTTATTTTAATTTCCAACAGTAAAGGATCTTGAAGATGGGCATACGTCACACACTGTGTCACAAGGGAAATTTTTCCAGGACACCAGCACTACAGGCTACTCTTATTTCTATTTCGAACTATAAAGGATCTTAAATAAACTGGCAATGGTATACAGGGAAAAACTAGATGGAAAATCTTGACAAACTTTCTTGATCAATAATAGGATTGTACCCAGGTAAGTGAGTCAGAGCCAACACCATACTCACCAGGGAACTCTGGCTAAGAGAACATAAAGGAGTAAGATCTCTTTGATTTAGGTCAAGAAATAATGCTACATATTGAATTAAATTCATTTGATTGGCCCTATCTGCTGACCTAAAATTTTAAATGGATACACATATCAAATTCGCAAGAGGATTAGTAGTCACATCTAATTTAATTAAATGACCATTTCATTTTATACCCAAATCCAGGAGGTTGTCATTTTAAAAGCAGGGCTTCAATGAAAATCCAACACTAGGAGTAGCAGGTCAAAGTGTTTACATCTTAATGACATAACCCCTACCAATCTCACTGTTAGCTCATCAGACATGGAAGTCATTTTATCAAAATGTCAAAGGTAACTTCATTCACAAATCCGGCACACACACACATGCCACAGATTAAAACAAATTGCCTGATTCAGAGTTTTTTTAAATGAGTGTCTGGATTTTCATATTCAACCATACAAGTAAGCTAAATCAGTGTGTTAACAGAATAAATTATTCGCATTCGAGGGTGTTTCCTATATTACAATAACAAACATGTATAGATATTAACTGAGGAATTTTACATACTAGACATGCATTAATTCTTCTAAAAGCATATCTGCGTAAATAAAAAAGTGTTTTTGAAATAAAACCAATGTTTACACTTACCTTCCAAAGTAATCATTATAGTTTACTTTACTTGTTTTCCTTTCTGCTGATTTCAATTTCAGATCATTTTACTAAAGGTTTTCTTCCAAGACGTAAAAAAAACTATTTATTTGAAAAAAATCTTACCTGATGATCACAGATATTATCAGTTGAACTGTAAACTGTATTCAGTGTGTATATCTGTTTCAATCAGACAGAATCATTTACTTTGATCAAAATTCTAGTTGTAGTGAACAAGAGTTTGGCTGGCCATAGGGCAGACATGCAACAGATTTACCATTCTTCTTTATGAGATAATGAACCAGCTGGTGTTTCAACTTTTAACTTAATTCTATCAATGATTGTTTTAGTCAGTAATAGTTCTACCAACAAAGAAACCCAAATGTAAATAACTTGCTTCAATTTAATCAGGAGTTTGATCAGATTTCTTCAAGGATGGTCATGACATTAAAAATAATTCTATCAAGTATGTCTGCGTAATCAATGAATAAAATTTTATATAAAACAGGTGTTGACCTGATCATGTTTAGTACTGGTAGATGCAATGCTAATCGTTCGATCAAAGTTTGCCAAAAATGTTAAATATTCAATTTCATCAGATGCTATGCATACATTACTGGTTATATCATTTTAGGCATGTGTGTCTAATTTTATTCTTAAATTAAACAATATTTCGTAGCTACAATACATGTTAATTCATGAACTGTATTTTATCTTAAAACACAACTTGACAGTTCAGATGTTAAGTTAAGCTGATTCAATAACGTTGGTGATCATTAAGCTAAGTTAAAGGTAGGTCAAATCCCAGCTCATTACCTGTCTTGCCAGGTTTTTTTTTTAAAAGGCTTGTCTTAGCCATCTGAATGAGTCTTCTCAAAAACGCCTGCTCCAGCTAGCTCTGGACATTCACATTAACTTATAGCCCGTTCAGACGCTTATTTTTTAACCAGTTCATAATAGCTGGGGGTTTTAAGTTTTAAGACAGCATCGTGTTGCGTTCACACGTACTATAAGCCAAACCAGTTTAACTATTCTGACCTCTTCGGTCGGAGGTAACTGCGCATGGGTAGCTTCATATTCTTTATTCGGTTCTCGCACGCTTTCGATAAGAATGGCACTGTCTGACCCCAATATTTTCACAGGAATGTAACTACTGCGTACTGCGCATGCTCAAAGCAAGCTGGAGCCGTGATTTTTAAGCCAACTCGTTCAGGTGGCTAAGATGAACCAGTTTAAAATAAAAAGCCTTCTCGAAGATGCTTAAGTTAAACTGGTTTAACGATCCCCAGGGTTTTTAAACCAGTTCAACGGGCTATTATCTTCCATGGAAAATGGTAGCATGTACCCATGCAATAAACATGTTAGACTAGTTAAGTTGGTTTGGCTTAAAGTATGTGTGATCACTTCACTCTCTTGACTTAAAACTCCCAGCATTTTTGAACTAGCTTAAAAAAGATTTAAATGATATACAATTAAAAAGGAACATATCTTTAAAAGACTATGGAAATTGAAGCTGATCAGTAAAGATCTAATGTTTAATTAGACATGACATGAATGCACCATTACAGGAGATACATAGATTCAAAAACTGAGAGAAAACAGAGAATTTTGAGTCTATTTACAACATTTCAGGAGCTGAACACATGGACACCATAAAATAAATCAATGACAGGCTTATCTGGCTTATCTTGCTGTTCAATACCTGTGTCATGACACACAGCATGTCCTGGAAAACTGTACAATTCATCACTAATGACAACAGGACTGTCCCAGTATGGTGCACAGTAAAATGGCACAGGTATAAGTTCACATGTGTAAAATAGGAAAAATACTGAAATATGCACAAATATTAATCAATTTCTTCAAAACAAATATATAGTTATTGTTAACTATGTGCTTTAATTACTGAATTATGATATGGTGCTTCTAGCTGTCTTAGTCACAACATTAGATTTTATTTTAAGCTTTATTTCAGTATTTAATGTATACATTTTTTGTCTTTTGTGGTTCAATTATGTGCTTTAATTACTTAAGTTACATGTGAATGATATACTGGTGGTAATTACCATTCAATGTGTTCTTTCTATTTGTAATGAATAGTATAATGTATATACATACTTTTAAATTTTTTCTTTAGTTGTGCCAATTTTTCGTGGTTTCCACTTGCACCCTTTTTACCTGTGCCATTATTTCTAAAATTCACGCCAGTAGACACAGTTATTGTCATTTGTTAACTAGACAGATTAAATATCTATGAATATTATATTTTACAGGCATTTTTGTATGATGTAATTGTACACCGCTGAAATTTCCGACAAATTCAGACAAAATATATTCTAACTGACAGTCCAATAAATAATAAAACCTGAAAACACCACCTGGAAACTGAAAGGTAATATTTATTCAAAAAGTAGCCCAGGGCAATTCATATAGATGCAAAGAACTAGGATAAAGAATTAACTAGTTTTTATTGAGTAAAGTATATGCTAAAAAGCTACTGGATTACAGAGATGGTAACCTCCCCTCTAGAAAATGTGAACCTCCATGCCTTTGTATTTTCGCTTGGAAAAGGCTTCATTTGTTGACTTCTTAATAATGTATTTAAAAACACTAAATAAAAAAAATTAACGTTAGCTTACTGTATATGATCCATAACCAAACAATTTAGTAATAAAGTTACACAGTTACTACCTACTATCCACCATTTCTGAATCGATTCTGATATTGTGGCATAATTATGCACTGTATTTACATTACATGCTGCCAGAAAATCTATAATCTGCTTAATTTACAACCCAAATTCTTTAATATCAACTTGTTCACATTCGATAAATCTATAAATAATAAACATCTGAAGGTTTTTTCAAATTTATGAAAAATTATAACATCAATCTAATTTCATTTTTTATTTTGTCTTTAAATAGTATTTGAGACAGTATTGATTATCCACCTATTGAGCTAAATATGTACGACCCTAAATGTCACCCCAACTTTTAAGATTTGTCATCGAAACAGATGAATGATGATTAATGACGCTACCGTTTTACTCATTTATAACCAGAATATACATTTTGCTTTTTTTATGTGTTTAAAGCCATCGATAGTCATTTACTTTTTTCAGATAATATCTAAGGTTTTAACGCTTAACCCACACTATAATGTACTTGAATAAATAATTTAACATTTAATCAACCGTAGATAGTCTCCCTAATTTGGATTCAATCAGATTATTTATAAGGAGGTCTATCAAAAGATTTTACCAAACACCTATAGGTTACACTGGCTTGTTTATATCATCTGCAGAGAATGTTGAATGTTGTCAAATTTTTAATTTGTCATATCTTTGTAAATACTGAACAGATCTGATCCATGTTTATGCTTATATTCATTTTATAGGTTCAACTTTCACAATATTTCGGTTTGCAAGGGAGTCAAAATGCCCCAAAATGAATGACTTTAGTATTGTATAGACATACATATAAATACTTCAAGCTTACAGCTTAAAAAAAAAACACCTGGTTTTCCCCTACAGGTAAATTGTCATCTAATCTGTCCTATAATCATGTATAGTTGTAGAGATTATAACATTATTATTTTGATGGCAAACATTATACTCCTAAAGTGTACCAAACATATTTCAGAAAACACCAAAAATATCCTGAAGAGTCTAGACACATACAATATATTATGCCAAAGTAAAAGTAGAATATTGATTACAGTGGTATTCATGGTATGTGTTGTATACACTACTATGGCATTTACTGCTTGACTATTTTATTGTTTCACGACTGTCCTATTGTGGACATCATTGTCATTCTTCAAAATTATTCATAACGATCACATTCATTTGATATTTAATAAATATAAAATACATATTTGGTCATTATTATATAAAGATCACATAATAATATTATTTTATACCTACGTGAATGTGTTGACATCAATCAATAGATGATACAATCTGAACAACCAAAGAGCATATTTCATGCTGAATATAAACTACATTTTAAACAGCTTCTTACCTTATCTCTTCAATTGCGAGCATGTCACCCCAACATTATGCACATGTGCTTCTGGCATTGTAATATTGTACTACTGTAGTATGATGAAGTCAAGCTGACACATGTCTATGACAATGCTATTTGTATTCAATGAAATCAAATGGGTACCTGATTGTCTTCAAAACAGATGTATCCTATTATAGTAGATCATGATCTAATCATTTATAGATATTTTACCATATGTAAACAAACTCCAAATCACAGCACTGAATTGATGTGAATGTCATGCAATGCTTTTAGAACCGGCACAAAAATATGTGAATCACATCAATATTATTACCCTTATTAAAGCTAGAATTGAGCACTAACCTTGGACTGTGTTTCTTCAATGTTAGGGTGAAATTCTACACTCTGGTTTTCAGTGACGAAGGTCTCTAATTCAAGATGCACATTGGTTCCATTTGCAAAACGGCAAAACAAGCACAAGAAGTTCGTATGGTAGAAATGTGATCAAAAATACAGCAGCTGCTTGACTTATTTATTCATGTTCAGGGCCTTTCTCTGCTAGCTGTATGATAGCTGACTGCTAAACTTGTCTGTGGAATTGGTCTGGCTGATTTCTACATTGAGCTAGCAATATAATGGGTTTGACATGGCTGACTAAATTATTAATGTAAAAAATGTTGATTATGTTGATACAGTAGTAGGGATGATATAAGTGATGGGTGATGAAGATAGGGATGAGTAAAATAACAAGAATCACTCTTACACTTTGGTAGTACAAAAAACTGTCGAAAAATTGCACTTTGATGACTAAGAAGTGAGTCTACAGACCCATTTCATTTTGGCAGAAGCCAAGTCTGGCAGATGTTTTAATGTTGTCAAACACTGCAGATCGCTTATCATATAAATCACTGACAGCTTTAAACTAGTAACCTAACACTAGACTGTTAACATAAATGCTGCCATCTTGAAGTGGCCAAACATGTATTAAAAGTTTGTTTTGATGAAAGATATTAAATGTTTGTTTTGATGAAAGATGTTAAAATTGAGAAAAAATTTAATATAAATTAATTTTTAAAGAATTTTCTCGATAATTTATCTGGTGTTATTTTAATCTGAGATAGAGTGAAAGTTCCCTGATTTTTATACTCGAATCGGTATACATATAATATTGTTGTTTATTGTTGTTACCTCTGTTGATATCAGCCTGTCCTACTACAGATCTAGGGGTTAAGGTATCACAACGTAACAGTAACTCAAAGTTCCTTCAATTTTCAAAATTGGTGGGGTCATTTGCTTAGTTATAAGGATAAACATTATCGAAATTGTCCCTATCATTGAAACTGTGTCAATTTTTTTATCAATTATTAGTTCACACACTGTGTCAAGATTTTCTTTTTCTTATTATTATAAATTTCACAAACCACCATTTAAAAATATAACACGATTTAATTGCAGGTGAGGTGACCGTTTAGTTGCCTGGCAACTATTCTTGACTTAAACTGTTAAAAGTAGTTGTCCCAAATTTCACCTGATATCATAAATTGTAGAAACTTGTAGCAAAATTTCAAATCAAATTATTAAGCCATTCAGAAATGATAGCTAGATTTACTTAACAGGGTTACATAACTCAATTAAGGACTTTAAGTCTTCAAGTTTATGAATGACTTGATAATCACAACTGTAGTTTTGATAATAATATAGACATTGTTATTCAAGGACTAACAAAGCATGAAATTTGGGGAACTTACAATGACCAACCACAGGGATTTGAAAGATGATATTTCTTTTAATAACCAGCGGATCGATCGGCAATTACACAACTTCAGAGAGTTACAGAACTAGCATAAATGTTTATAAGTCTTACACTCTGAATCAATCAGTTTTATTCACTAAAACAGACCTGGAATTTCTCCTTTGACAGCTTACGGCTATCTTGACCATATCTTCACATTGGTTGGATCTAGGGGCTCAAAATTTTAAATGTAGAGAAAGAAGTCACAAGATAATCAAATTAACCAGATACCATATTCTTAACATGACAGAATTATGTAAACTAAAAAATCACCTTAGCAGATACCATATTCTTAACATGACAGAATTATGTAAACTAAAAAATCACCTTAGCTTTACATTACCTTTTTCATATTATTGTATTAGAATTTCAAATTGAATTTAAATTATCAACTACTAGGTAAAAGACAATAATTCCCTACTTCAGAACCAGTACTGATATTTTGAAAAATAATTTACAATTCATGATGCAAACAGCTTTGTCTACAACATAAATGGAGTCGGTAATACATAAAGAGAAAAATAAATCAGTTAGCTGCGACTTGTGGTTTAAATTGTAGGGAAACATAGTTACATGTAACTCTCTTATAAATATATTTTAATAAAAGAGTTGGGTGTTAGTTATATAAATAACATGGATATTCACACTGAAACCTCACATTAGAGTAATAATAAGGACCTAATATGCCTAATATATATTTATTGTAACTGCAGTCTGACTGTGTATTCATCTACCGAGGCTGGTAAACTCATTTAACATGTACTTGATAAACGGCTAGGATTTCAAGATTTTTTTTTTTTTATAAATCTGAGAGAAATGATATACTTGTGGATAAGACAAAATTAGCATTTGAGAAATACTAGTAATTTTGAAGCCATAAAAACGATATCTTTTATCAATAAATATATTGATAATAGGGAGATAAAAGACCAGATCCATCCAATGTTATAAGGAGTAATGATTCTACTCATCATAAGGTTAGATAGCCTTATCTTCAAACAGACAGATAGGAAGATACTATAGGTGTATCATATTTACTAAAAACATTCAGACCAAAATCGTTAAACATATGTTGCCAGGCAACCAAACATGCATCCACAAGCAGCTTTACCCAAACTCATGGGTATCGTATATAAACTCTCTCAATTGAGCACTTATATTAATGAACCAGTATCATAAGAGTGTCATCAAATGAAAGAAATCTAGAATACAAATAACTGTGGGAAATGTCACACATGTAGTCTTGTGGTTTATTACACATTTCAGTGTTCATCAGAGAATTCAGTCAGTAAGTTTTACGTAAGTTACCTCAGTTAAAATTTAAAAAAAGCTATTTCACTGGCATATTGCTAACTCATTGTCTGATTTCCTCCATTTAATTTCTAGCTTACTTATTGTTCATTAATTTATAAAGGATACAAGAAATTACAGAGTGCATGCAGGGCCAGGATGTCGTAGTTTGTTATATTCTACTGGACAAAATTCACCTATTTCTAACATTATAAGGGGTTTACCAGATATATTTGTTTAATTTGCACGATACAATAATATAAACCATAGAAATCTATACAGCTCTACATATTTTTACGCATAAATATATTGTTATTGAGTTCGAGCGCATATCAAAAAACAGGATTGTATGAATTGGATGGCTTTATTAATATTTAAAAATTTACAATATCAGTCGGTATTTATCTTTTGTCCTCGGGTTCTACATCATGCGATCACATTCATATAGTACAGAGCCAGGGCTTTCAGATTTGAACGGAAAGAAAATGTACAGAGCTAGAATTTGAATTTAAAATGATTCATGTGCCAGATCTACTGCTGACAAACATGGCCTTACTCAAGATTGCGTCTTTCATACATCATGCAAGGAAAATTAAAAACCAAAACATCGAGGTTTTGAAAGTTGTTAGAATACATTTTCTATCATTTCAACTACTGACAAACAAAACCTAAGGTTTGTTCTAGTTGCGCTTTAAAGATGGGTTCCCAGAAAAGTATTTATCGGGTGGTTATTTCCAATAAAAGTATGGTAATTTTGGTATATATGGTAAGTAGAGATATCCAATCTTACTAGAAAAATACTGGATTCCCCGAAAAACACTCATGGAGCGTATACAGGACAAAAATTTAAGGGTTCCCCTAATCAACAGCCCGACGATTAGGAATTTCTGCACGCGTGATGTCAAAGGTCACACACGAACATTGAGCGCTTGATGTACAAGTTGATAAACTTTATGAAGAGTTAGACGTACAACACTTTCTGAGATAAAAAAAAGACACGTGTAGTGGATAATCTGATAATTTAATTAGGATTCGATATTTGTAATAAATAGTAAGCGATTAAAGACAACATCATCTTATGTATGCAATGAATTCTCCTCTGACTTCCAAGAAAGGTAAGTCACGTGACGTAAACATGACCTGGTTTGATCAAATTTTTATAGGACATTCCTTCGCAATTACAATGTTTGAGAAGGGTTTGAAGCAAAGTTATGACAAATTAATTAGTTTGAATATGTTTTTAGTCCATATGTACCATTAAATCACCCAGTTTGTACGCAAGAACCCATCTTTAAATTATCCAAGTAATAAAGAAATTTCTTCTGCAAGATTAGTCATAATATACGGAATTCTTTTTGATGACGTAATGTACTATGATATAATCAATATAATACTTGCTTCCATTTAGATCAATTGAACTACAGTGTTCTTTCGTTGAATAATCTACATATTTGATCTGTGGAAATGATATTGGAAGTCATAAAACTGACAGTTCTAATAAGTATTTAAAACAATAAATAGGCTTATCTATTTATTACAATTTCTTATTTAAACATACATTAAGCAAGAGCTAAATCTCCCTATTGCAGGTCTTTCTTTAGGCCTGAAATGTTATATAAACTGTTAATTGGACATTTATTAACAAAACAAGACCATAATCAACTCTCAATGGCATCGGATATTCAAGATTTTCACTACATTAGAACGGTTCATCATTTAACAATTTAATTTAAAGATAGGTTGCCAGGCAACTAAACATACGCCCACAGCAGCTAAATCTTCCGGGCAGTCAACAAGAGTTGCGCATATTTTTACCTTTGTCGGTAATGAAACATTTATAATACATTAAAATCTGATTAAGAGTAACAACTCATTAAGTAATTATCAGAAAACCATTAGAATTTGTTTGGTTTTTATAAAGTTCTGCCCCATGCTAACGTTTAGTATACAAAACTTTTAACATCATGGATTTAGCTGTCCAAGTCATAAAAATTCATTAAAAATCAATATACTTGTTCGTCGGATGATAACTTTAGCCTCTAGAGCGTCACAAGATTTTTCAAAGTGATCAAGGGCCATAACTTTGGCAGTAATTATCGGAAATCGTTGAAAATCAATATGTTTCTTCGTCTCATGACCTCAAACACTGTGTATAAATTTAAAGTCAATCAGATATTAACTTTAGTCTCTAGAGCGTCCACAAGATTTTTTGAAGTGATCAAGGGCCATAACTCTGGCAGTAATTATCGAAACTTGCTGAAAATGAATAGACTTCTTCGTCTCATAACCTTAAACACTGTATATCAATTTAAAGTCAATCAGATATTAACTTTAGCCTCTAGAGCGTCCACAAGATTTTTCAAAGTGATCAAGGGCCATCACTCTGGCAGTAATTATCTGAAATCGCTGAAAATCAATAGGCATCTTTGTCTCATGACC